TCCTCTTTTAAAAGGTCCCTGAGAGGACTTTTTTACTGGTTTTTAGTTTGCACCGGTCCTGGGCGCACTGAACGTAGTAACTTAATGAAACTTTTCTTTTCTGGAATTTCGCTTTATTTTCAAAGTCAGGCAAATTAAAATTTCAAATTGTTCAACTGTGCTCGGAACATTTTGTGAATGGAGCGCGCACCAAACTTAACGCTGTACTGTCAATGAACATGGGGTAGGCTTGCAAGGTGCGTGCAAGTTTTCTTCTGATAATTGCTGTTTCAGCCTGGAAAATTTTGTAACTGAATTTATCTTAAAGGGTCCTTGCAAGGACTTTTTTACTGGTTTTTAATTTGCACCCAACCTGAGCGCACTGAACGTAGTAACTTGGTGAAACTTTTATTTTCTCGAAATTCGCTTTATTTTAATAGTTATGGGCAAATTAAAATTTCAAAAACAAACAAAAATTAACTTCCATTATGACGTCCTTGGTCCTCGCTTGAGTGGCCGTGAATTAGAGGAGGGGTAGTGAGCTCAGCGAGCGCTCACGACTGTCGCACTCCGTGTCGACGGCTCGAGAGGACGCACCTAAAGCATGTTCTGAATAGGCTGTATGTAGCGGGCAGCCAGGGCGACTCGCGTTGACTTTGCTGCGCGATTAAACACAAATTCGGCAGGACACTTCATTGGCCACAAACGACAGCAAACACGGGGTAAAGATCAGCTCAGAACGGGAGCCACTTCGCGCTGCCATACCGCGAAACGGCCAAGCTGCAAGCCAAAGCTGCTCGCCGAAGGCCTTCAGAACGGTCGGAACCGGTCGGATCCTCCAGTCCATACGACCGCAGCGCCGCCGCGTACATCCGGGACTTTTCTGCGCTCGTCGCTCGTCGGTGCCTGATCCAATTACACCTTTCTAGTATGTGCCGCCTTTTCCACCGCTTGGTGGCGGGTATGTCGACGGGTCATTTCTTGTCCCCGTACCTTATAAACTGCATTTGTTTCTTTTTTTATCTAAAATACTGAACAAAAACTACTTTTATAAATAATTAAAACGGCTCGCGCCACTGGTATTTTGTATTTCGACTAAAAAGCAGCTTCTAGCGGCTCTGACCAGTAGTAAGGCCATGGACCAAAGACCTCACATACCACGCTCTCGGCACCGCGGGTCGCCCTCGTCGGTGGACGAGGTATACGAGTCGTCCTTTTAAAATATGAGGCACTGATATTTAGTCACTCTCCGTGGCCGCTGGCTTGCCCGAACCCCGAGGGACGTGGAAATTGCGAAAAAGGTAGACGCTTAAATATGATTGCAGGGCCCCTTTAAAGGGACACTGACAGGGTATTTATGCTCGCCGAGGTTTTTAGTTGTACGTGTCATATGAGAGCTCAACTACCCAGAACAGAATTGGCAGCTCGAAATTCGGTTTCTTTCCGCCCGAAAACCGCCGATCAAGAACTGGCCGGTTCGAGTCTCGCTCACTCTCTTTTTCGAGGTCACGGGCCGTTTTCTAAGGTATCGGTGCGACCACCAAATTTAATCAAAGTCGTGGGTCACTGAAGGCACACACTCAATATTAAAAATAGAAAAAAATATGAAACCCATTTTTTCTGGCTTCTAAAAAGCTGTAAATACGTTGATTGAAAAAAAAAAAAGTTCCACTGACAACCGGAAGCATTCTGTGCGTTCGTCGTTTCGCGTATCGTGGGACTCGCGGGGACGGCGATGGCTGCGGACGACGTGCGTGGGACCTCTATTTCAGAACTGTCGTTCGCGGTACCGGCGAATTCTGTCTACCTTTAAAAGAGAAATTTGGGACTGATCAAAAGAATTAGTATTCATTCCGTACGACACGCCCGGCCACCAAGCCGATTTGCACGAAGACGTCGCCGAGCCGTCGCTCCCTTCTCGTGGCTGAAGACATCGCTCGCGCAAACGTCAAGCACGACGTGTCTACTTCGAGTTGAATATGCACGCGTACGATTTCTTTACTAGGTGTGAATGTCCCCAAAGCGTGGTGCTTCCCGACTTCGACTCGGGAGTGCTTTTGCTAGAGAAAAATCGACAGCAAACTTTCCAACTTACAGTTTACCGGCTGAATTATTACAAAGGAAAGAGATCCACCACAAAATAGATCCCCCAGTAGCGCAGTGGGAAAGACGTCCGGTTCACACGCGGTAGGACCGGGTTCGATCCCCCGTGAAACTTTTTTTTTTTTTTCATACATTTTTTGATGTTTACATATCTTTTTTTTCTTTTTCTTTTTTTTACAATCATCACTGAAGAGACAAACAAAACATAACAAACAAATGTTGCGGACGATACTTCGCTGAATTAAATGGTATGTGATTTCCTTTTTGACACCTGCGAACTCAATGTAATCACTTTCCACAAAATGCAAGGAGCATATAAGTTGAGACGTTCTCTGTGTCTGTTCCTTCTACTGAAAGTTCTTCCGATTTCTTCCACCGCAGTCTCAGGTGTAATACGACATGATTAGCTACCACCAGCTCGCCTGCACTCTCACCGTCTTTTCACTAATATAAATCAGGTAGCGTCCGCTTTCCGAGGTGCCCGTATATGTTCTACAGGAATTGCAGCCAGCCAATGGTCCCGATCCCGTTGATCTTTCGGAAACTCTGTCGCACAATGCCACTTTTTTTTCGGACGCAACATCTTGGGTGTATTCTTTTCGGAGCCGATCATGGAAATTCACCACGGGCACTCGCTACTCATCTCCGACTCCTCAATGTATGTACAAAACAACTCATCTTGGAGTACAGAACAACGAGCGGAACAAACATAACTGCAAAAGAATCGCCCGGCGAGCAGTTCCCGCACGCCGCATCGCACGCCGCATGTCGTGTCGTCTGCTACGGAGAGAAAAAAAAAAAACGAAAAAAAAAAAACGCACGGCCGGGTGTAGCCACGTGACTTCCGCCACTCACTCTCTTCTCTCCACTTCTCCGACCTCCGTCGGGTTTCGGTTTCGGTTTCGAGCAGTTGCGTCTTTCGGCGTTATTAAAGAAATACGCTACTCTGTTGCAAAATATTAATTGGGTAGTCCTCCGACACCATAATGAAGCCCCTGGCAAAAAATGAAAAAAAAATTTTGGGGGGTGTCAGTGTCCCTTTAAGACGTTCCCCAGCCTTGTCCCTCCGACCGTCCTGTCGGGCACCTTGCCGCGAGCCAACCCTCTGACGTCAGCGCTGGGTGGGGGGCGCTTGCCCCTTCCCTCCCGGAGGGCTCCGGACATTCCACGACAGGACGGCGGCGGGAAGCGGGACGGTCACGGAGGAACGGGAGGACGGAAAGAGGGTCTCAACAAGTGTCATTCGGTGAAACGTGGGCGTTCGCTAAAACGTCATTCGATCGAGTGAGTGCCTCTCCTGTTGAAGCCATGAAACTCGAATTACTTCCATCTCGGCATGACCCGTGGTGGTAGCACACATAACGAGCGGAGCTCGATGCCTTTGCAGGTGCGTTAGGTTTTCATAGCGCAAAACATTTCAGAGCTTTCCATAAGAAGATAAAAACCGGTCGAGTTGGTGCAACCGGGAGAATCGAAATTGGGAGCTTTTCTTATCAATTGGTAACCGTAAAATGTTTACCGACGAGTGTTATTGGATTTTATCGGATTTATCCGGAAACGCAGAAGTCACATCGGCGATATTTATCTGGAGCCATTTTTTCCTATAGACCTTTTCCGCTTACTCTCGCCCCCGACCGCCAAAAAGGCATATCCGGTATGGGCGACGAAAAAATATCAGAACGTTTCAACCTGCAAATAGTAAAATAATAGAGGGGAGGCAAAACGAGAATCTGTGACGGTGACGTTTATGTCCTAAATGCCTTCTATTGGCGTGGCGACGGCAAAACAACGTTTTCGCTCCTACTGGAAGTGACGACAATTCAAGATGCGCGGCGCCCTTGCGAAAAAGGGAGAGGGCACAGGGACTGGTTTACAATATTTCCTTGCGGAGACTGCCCCGCGTCCTACGTCGGGGAAACGAAGAGCTGTCCGGAGCGCCTGCGGTGCCACCGCTACGACATCGTGGAGAAGAATGTGGAGGGAAACGCTTTTGGCTCAACATACACCGGGAAGACAAACGACTCCGTCGACCGCGACAGCAGCGCCATCTTCGGAATGGAGAGAAACTGACGGAAGCGCGGCAAGTTCAGTGCACACGCGTGGAAACATAAGCCGGTCGACGGGAACCCTTCCCGGCGGCAGGAGAAAAAGTAAACAAAAATGTTTGGTTTAATGTTTCTGACGTCTTCATTTCTTTTAGGATGCAGGCTTGCACGGTAAACCATTTCAGCATGCTTGTGATTGCCATCGAGGGTGATTATACCGTTTAAATAATAACTTAAAATTACTTCGCTTTAAAAGGCTTCCCGTGTTCATATTTCTGTCGGCGTCACAAAGTGAAGTTTAAAAGGGGAATGGGCAATATCTCATTTATGACATAGTAAAAAAGAAGTGGTTTAACGCCTTTCATGCAATGTCACCCGTTAAAAATCAACTAACGGATTTATCAATTGCTTAGCCTATTAAATGGTAGCGATCAGTCGAATTAGTTTTTTAATCAAACCACAGCTCCAATCAACATTTAATGTTTTATGAAAGCTATGGTTTGTGCGAGATAACAAAAATGTGCGGGACCAGCGGTTATATACAAACCACAACGATTATGGAAGCGTCCGACTTAATAATAATCGCTTTGTTGAATTTCCACGAATATGAAATAATAAAACACAACCTTTAGTAGGAAGAAACGACAACGAAAACAACAAGCGTTTAATTAGGAGAGCTCGGCTCAGCCGGAAACAGGCTTGCATCGTACAGATCCATGCTTCTGAACGTGGGCCCGTAGCAGACGACGCACGGCGGTATCCCGGCTTCATGGCCTCCGAGATCGCTCGGAGGCCATGCCCGCTTTCGCATGTTTTCAATTTCCGCCGCACGATGGCGACACAGTTCGATCTCGATGCGAACAGAAACGGAGAGGAGAGGCGACGGCGACCCACATGTTATCTCGTGCCGTAAACGAGGCGTCAAAATCACGACGACTGAAAGAAATGCTCCATCTAACCTCGTCCCGGGCGACGGCGTCTGTTCTCCTCTTCGTGCTTTTGGTCGAGCGAGGTGAGTTTTGATTGGTCATCGTAAAGCATTGGGGCAGCGAGTTCTAACTTATATCGGTCAATTTCGCTTGCATGTGGTAGAAGCTAGAAAAGTTATTAAACAAGCAAAGAAAGCTTTTTTTATAATTACATAAAAAGACACACACTTTTCTGAGTGGACATGGTGAAGGTCACAACTGTAAACATACTTAAATTCGAAAGAATAAAACGCGAAGGACAAGCACAGGACAGCCACGTTCTTTCATTTAGAAACAAGGTTTATTTTGAGCAGGAAGATTGCACTATGAACGAGATCCCAACTAAGATAGGGTGATAAGGGGAAAGTAAACCTGGGGGAGGGAAAGGGGGAGAAAGACACCACGAGGCACGGGCAGAACTACAGTGATAGTGTGGTCTTTTACGGAAAGTTGACATATTTTTCAAGCTCAGGACAGGCCTGATGACTCCATTTCCCGTCTTGATAAGGCTACTGAGGTCGATGGAACGTTGTTTTCTGCGTTCTGGATGAGGAAGGATTCGATGCTCTCACGTCCGTAACGATTGCGGTGTCCCCACTTTGTGTTGGTTTCCGCGTAGTCAGGCGCATCCAATGCAATCGTTCGCGTGAACCGCGATCATCAGGCCTGAACTTGAAAAATATGGCAACTCCCCGTAAAAAAGCACACCATCAATGTAGTTCTGCCCGTGCCTCGTGGTTTCTTCCTCACCCTTTCCATCCACAGTTTTCCCTCCCCCTCATCACCCTATCTTATAGTTGGTATCTCGTTCAGGGTGCAATTTCCCTGCCCAAAATAAACGTCGTTACTAAACGAAATAACGTGGTTGTCTTGTACTTGTCGTCCGCGATTTATTCTTTGTATTTCGCTCGCTTTTACCAGAATTGTAGTCACTATAGAGTTTTAGGGAACCGTTTTTGAGCATGCGCAGTTCGTACCGGAGGACCCGTTGTACAGTATCAAATGTGCAAAAACGGTTCCCTTAAACTCTCTATAGTGAGAACTGGAGGGAGTTGTGGCGAATTCTCCGAGCATTTCTTTTATCATTGATGGTGACGAAACAGCTCGAACACTAGATGATTACACAGAGATAGGACACACGCACACAGCTTTGTGCGTGGGACTTGTCTCTTTGTGATCGTCTAGTGTTCAAGCTCTTTCCTCAACATCAATGGCAATGTACCAACTAGCTCAACTCAAGCCGGTAATTTCTTTATCCCTCCGACGTCACTGGGATTCCATCATTTGACGGTGAGAACGCTGAGGAAGAGAACGCTGAGGAAGATAAAAAAAAGCCACGCTTTAGGTTTTTAATCTGATACTGTTTCCACGTTTGCTGCGCGATGCGTCGCTTACGCACGACAACTTTTAGATCGCGTTTTACGATAAACCCTCGTGCTTGCAATGTGCTAATGCAAAGACATCTGGGCTACCCAATCAGCGGGCTCCCCTTAATCGCGTGAACCAACGAGAAAAGCTTTTGGGTGTCATGCCTCGATGTGAAAAAATGCTTCTTCGGTGGTAAAAGGAGTGGACGCCTTGCCGCCAGAGTGTAAATGCGTGCGTGACCGTTGGTGTGAGACAGAGCGCTTGCCGCACTCTGTATTGACTAAACAGTTGAAAATAATGACCAGAGATTGGCGCTTCGGGTCCGTCGCTGAGCAGCATATATACATACTCCAGGAACCTCTGAGAGTGTATATAGTCCAATGCGCTGTTTACAGAAAGAAACCCGCGTTTGCCCGCTCAAAACGTGGATATTGCGCATGCGCAGAGAACCGATACGCTCTAGGGTAGCGTCTGCGCATGTCCCGTGCCGACAGCAGCGCCAATCGGAGCGGCGTGACGTCACAACCGTGTGTTGGTCTATACAAGTTGCAGAGGTCATCACTAGGGTTCCGTGTTTTCGGTATGTACCGATAAACAGTCGAAAATTCACCCCGAGGCGATTTCCTCTGAATCGGTAAAAATCGAAGAACTTCAAAATTAAGCTGTCCTCAAAGGGAAAAAAAAAAAAAAAAGATAATAAAAACGCCAGCTTAAAGCCCGGGGTCACAAAGCTCAACATACAAAAGACAATCTGCAAACACGAGTCACAGCAATATCCGTGCTTCGAATGCCGCGTGCCAAATTTTCTTTTTGAACATATTGTCACGCGGCATTCGAAGCACGGATCTCGCGGTGACTCGCGCTCGAATCCGTATGCAGAGGTATGATGTGTGACCCCGGCTTTGGATGCAGTACACCGAGAAAATTTTTTGGCGTTTCGTGCACCAGCTCGAGAGACAGCCGGGTTCAATCACGTAACATTCACTAACAACATTTAACAATAATTAATGGTGTGGAGTGTTTGGTGTGTATTCAACAAAGTTGTGTAATGTCAGGTGCGTTATAAATGATACTATAATTTATAATTATACAGTCGCTTTACAACATAAGCCCGATAAACACCGATACCTCTCCGGCATTGAAATTACCCGCCGAAAAACAATAATTCGAAAGAGAGGGATAAATTAATACCGACAGATAAGCCCCGAATTCAAAGAAACATAAAAGCCGAGAGGACGGAACCCTACGTATCACTCTGGAAAAAAAAGCCGAGTAACTGTACTGCGGTGGACAGACGCGTGGCGTCCAATTTAGTTTTGACGCGTTCCACAGACGGGTGGTTCCCGTTTCGACAAATTCCCAATTCAACCTTCCCGTTTGTACCTTCCCCTTCCGACCCGGCTCAAAACGACCTTCTCGTTTCATCCTTTTCCATTTCGCACTATCCCGAGACAACCTTCCCGTTTCGGCTATCGTTTGTTTACAGTTAGGTCGGTTCGTTTGTTTTGTTCGTTAACAGTTGATTAGGTTCAAGTGTCCAATGTCCGTTTTCCTTGCTGACCTCACTTCTCCCTCTCCCGAAACAACCTTGGAGACCTGACACCGTAAGATAAACACTGCGTCATGGAGGGCTCACCCGAACATTTACAGCTTAATTGATTTGATCAAACGGGATGAGGCTTAGCAAGGGTATCTTTGCAGCAGCTTGCAAAAAGTGGTGCCGTGCGGGCCAGGGGGCTCAAGTGGGTCAGCAAAAACCATAAACGATCAGAACTGGACTGTCGCCTCTCTGATGGCACGATTTCCCTGTTGGACTTTCTCAGAGAAAGTCCAACAGGGACATTTTTTTTTCTTTATAAAGCTATTCTTATAGTGTGCTTTTTTCTCCCCTCGCTCATGTATTGCATCCGTAAGGATCTCTTCGAGCTAAATAAATGTAATGAAAATGAAATGAAATATGACTGTCACCCAATCTGATTTGTCGCTCTCCAAAATATCAAGATCACTATTATGAGGTTCTAGAATAACGTACGCAAGCACTTTGGATGCCCTAAAAATAGCGTCGCCATGGCGACGCTATTTTTAGCTTATCCAATGTGCTTGTGTATGCAAGACTTCATTATTGAACGTAGCGCGAACAAGCGATCGGCAATGTTGATATTAAATCTCATAGAATTAAAAGGCTGACATAAAGACTATTACTGTCTTTGGAAGCGCTCATCTGAGCCAGTAACCCAAAAAACATTTGGTGCTTGATAATATCATTTTGAAGTAAAATTAGAAAAAAAGCGACAAGGTCGTCTTTCCAGTAACGGCGTCGCAGAGAGTTCATAGACCGTTTCGAGGTTGCGCGTTATGGGGTTCATCTTGAAATAAAACAAGGAAAAACACTTTAAGTGGATGAAGTAAGAATAATACATTACTTCGAAGCTTGCTTGAAAGAGGTACATATTTTTAGAATACATTGGCATGCAATAATATTTCAGAACATATTTTCTTAAGCAAAAAAGGTGCACAGACCAGGGTTAGAACGACTAGACTTTTCGCGAAGAGGTTGCGATGCGCAGAGTCTTATAAAAATGGGTTGAGAAGGGACGGGTTCAAACGCAAAAGGTTTTTCGAGTATCGGTTGAAACGGGACGGGTTCAAATGTAAAGGGCGTTTCGGGAATGGGACGAAGCGGGACGGTTTCAAACGGGAAGCTCGATTCGGGAGTGGGTCGAAATGGGACGGGTTCAAACGGGAAGGTCGATTCGGGAATAGGTCGAAATGGGACGGATTCAAACGGGAATGGGTTGTTTCGGGCTACATCCCCACAGACCAGTGTGCAAAACTGGCGGCACCTAGTTGGCGGTTCCTGGAATGGTCCTATAAGAAACAGATTACTGATTGATGATTGTCGCGGACGTGTTGTCAATGGCCTCCTGTGCTTGACGCACTCGTGGCGCTGTGCGGGTCATCGCACCCCCCCCGCCCCCCCCCCCCCCCCCCCCCCGCTCCCCCTTCTTTAAACGGGTGTAGCCCGAAACAACCCATTCCCGTTTGAACCCGTCCCGTTTTGACCCATTCCCGAAACGACCTTCCCGTTTGAACCCGTCCCGTTTCGACCCATTCCCGAAACAATCTTCCCGTTTGAACCTGTCCCGTTTCAACCCGTTCCCGAAACGCCCTTCATATTTGAACCCGTAGCCAAGACATATTTTACGTTTGAATTCGTCCCGTTTGAACCCGCCAAATTGGTATAAAACCCCGCGCATCTCAGCCTCTTCGCAGAAAGTGTCCATCGTCCTAATCCTGGTTTGCGAAGTTTTTCTTCTTAAGAATATGTCCCGAAATCATGTTAATGCAATTAATACAATGGTGCAGGCGAGCAATTCAGTTATGTTGTGACATATTTTTGCTTGTAAACGTATTATTAAAATATGAAATACTTTCAGACAAGCTTCAAGGAAATATATTTCTACTTGAACCACTTAAAAAATGTTTCTTTCCAGATGATCCCCAAAATGTGTAATTACGAAATGGACTATGTACACTGCGCGACAACGTTACCACGAACACGATCTTGGCGATTTTTCGACTTTTACTTCAAAATGATATTAGAAGGTATCCCATTTTACCGCTTAGGTTAGTTGCCCAGATGAGCACTTTCAAACACACTAATAATATTGATGGT